AGTCCCCCAAATCGCAATGCCGAAAAAAAAATCGGAATAAGGTTGAAAAAAGAAAGGAAGAGAATGGGGAGAGAGAAGAGGGAGATCTTCTCCCCCCCATCCCACCTCACAGTTTCGCCATACCTGAACCAGCGTCCCCTGCCCTCTTCAATCAGTCTCCCAAATCGCAATGTCGAAAGAAAAACGCAATAAAGGTAAAAAAAAAAAAGAAGGAGAATGAAGGAGAGAGAAGAGGGAGATCTTCTCCCCCCCCACCCCACCTCGCAGTTTCGCCATACATGAACCAGTGTTCCCCACCCTCTTCGATCAGTCCCTCAAATCGCAATGCCGAAAGAAAAACGCAAAAAAGTAAAAAAAAAAAAGAAAGAGAATGGGGAAGAGAGATTGGAGGGAGATCTTCTTCGCCCGCCCCGCCCCCCACCTCCCAGTTTTGCCAATCATGATCCAGCATTCCCCACCCTCTTCGATCAGTCCCCCAAATCACAATGCCAAAAAAAAAAACGCAAAAAGGTAAAAAAAAACAAAGAGATTGGGGGAGAGAAACGAGGGAGATCTTCTATCCCCCACCCCACCTCACAGTTTCGCCATACATAAACCAGCGTTCCCCACCCTCTTCGATCAGTCCCCCAAGTCGTAATGCAGAAAGAAAAGCACAATAAAGGTAAAAAAAGAAAGAAAGAGAATGTGGAGAAAGAAGAGGGAGATCTTCTCCCCCCCACCCCACCTCACAGTTTCGCCATACATGGACCAGCGTTCCCCGCCCTCTTCGATCAGTCCCCCAAATCGCAATGCGGAAAGAAAAACGCAATAAAGGTAAAAAAAAAGAGAAGGAGAATGGGGGAGAGAGAAGAGGGAGATCTTCTTCCCCCCCACTCTACCTCGCAGTTTCGCCATACATGAACCAGCGTTCCCCACCCTCTTCAATCAGTCCCCCAAATCACAATGCCGAAAGAAAAACGCAAAAAAGGTAAAAAAAAAAAGAAAGAGAATGGGGAAGAGAGATTGGAGGGAGATCTTCTCCCTCTCCCGCCCCCCACCTCACAGTTTCGCCAATCATGATCCAGCATTCCCCACCCTCTTCGATCAGTCCCCCAAATCGCAATGCCAAAAAAAAAAAACGCAAAAAGGTAAAAAAAAAACAAAGAGAATGGGGGAGAGAGAAGAGGGAGATCTTCTCCCCCTCACCCCACCCCACTATTTCGCCATACATGAACCAGTGTTCCCCACCTTCTTCGATTACTCCCCCGAATCGCAAAACCGAAAAAAAACGAAAAAAGGTAAAAAAAAATAAGGAAGAGAATGGGGAAGAGAGATTGAAGGGAGATCTTTCCCCCCCCCCCCCACCTCACAGTTTGGCCATTCATGAACCAGCGTTCGCCTGCCCTCTTCGATTACTCCCCCGAATCGCAAAACCGAAAAAAAACGAAAAAGGTTAAAAAAAAAAAGGAAGAGAATGGGGAAGAGAGATTGGAGGGAGATCTTCTCCCCCCCACCCCACCTCACAGTTTCGCCATACATGAACCAGCTTTCCCCACCCTCTTGGATTAGTCCCGCGAATCGCAAAACCGAAAGAAAAACGCAAAAAAGGTTAAAAAAAAAAGAAACAGAAT